TGTCAGCAACTCTTTGAATGGCTCAAAGAATGGTACACCAGGAGTTGTTGTCAGGCGCTGTCTCATAACGACTCTGTGGTGTGAATCTGACATGATCTTCTTGAGTGCTGGAGAGCTGAGAGAGATACTGCTCTCGACTCATGTTCTTGATGATCTTGAGGAGGCCCTGGCTCACTCGGTAGGTTCTGCTGCTGTCGAATCGTTTCGGGTCGCTGTGTTCAGTCACATACACCCTATTGAAGCTGCCATTGTCATCCCGCCGCACAATAATGCGATCCTTGTTGCCGTCAGAATTTCTGTTGCTGTAATTTGCCCTGACATAATCTGGGAGCTTGTCTGCTCCTTGAGCGTTCAGGTTGCCCACCTCATAGTATGGGAGATTCTGAATAGGCACAATGTGATCATCTTCTTCAATTCTGTTTTGGTATTTGTGGAAACCAAAGTCTCCATTCTGAGGCTTGAATCTCGGGACAATATCACCATTGCTGACGTGGATATAGTCATGAGCAAACCAGTACAACAGGTTCAGGCCATGTCTCGGCTGTGGCTGACCGAAGCCAGAGTATTTCAGCTGGGACAGTTCATTCAGGGTGCTCACCATGATGGATGACTGTGTGAGAGAAAGAGACAATGAAGAAATATTTAGAATAATAGTAAAACCATACAATGAGGCAGTAAATACAAACCAGTCAGTAAGTTTTATGTTTGAAGGGAAAGTGCATTTTCGATGCTGTTATTTATCACCATTTAGGTTTTCAACCGCTTTGAAATCACTCTTTTTGCCTACTTAATTTCATTTCATTTGGTCATGTTTATGGCAAATTCATTTTTTAAAAGGATTAAATATAAAAGGCAAACCGGGGTCTGGGAAACATCAAGCTGGTAGTATCTGACAAATGTATGTGGAGAGACCTAGCTTGCAGTGGCACAAATGTCCTGTAGGGAACAGAGCACACGATGCTGCTATGCCCCTAGTGGAGTGAGCTTTGAGGCCTTCTGGAGGCCGCACTCCCTTAAGATTCATATTCCAGAGAGATGGCTTCCACGAACCAATGAGAGAGCCGTTGCTTAGAAATGGGATTCCCTGTATTCGGGGGGCCCAAGAAATGAAGAGCTGATTACTCCTCCTGACAGGGTTGGTCCTGTCGATAGCCGCTAAGTAGACCTTAATAGTGGAAAAGGATTTACCACCATCGATAAGGTCTTGCAAAAAAACTCAAATGTCAACAACCTCGCACCACTCCTCAAACACACGCCACTTGCAATCATAAAGGGAGCATGTAGAAGAGGCTCTAGCATTCTGAATGGTAGCAACAACATGTGGGGGGAGCCCCAATGTGTTTAAGTTTGCCCACTTACGGGCCAGGCCTAGAGGGCCACAGTCTTGGTGAGGATGGTAGATTTCCCCATTCCCTTGGGACAGGAGGTCTGTGTCGTAATGGGAGGGGCCACGGCTGGGCATACAGAAGAGGAATTATCTCTGCCAGCTATGGAGATTTAGGCTACCTGGGTGCTATCAAAATCAGAGTCAGGCTCTATTCTTACACCCTGACCAGAGTAGGAGATATTAGGCAGAGCGGAGGAAATGTTAGAGCAGCACATTGGGCCTAGGGTGTGCCAGTGTGTCCACGCCGAGGCCGGCATCCTCATCCCGTAGTGATAAGAACATTGGATAATGAACGTTTTTGCATGAGGCAAAGAGATCGATGGGTGAGGGTCCTTAGCGGCGATCAGCGCGCCATACAGGGCCAGGCAGGCCCGTGATAAGCTACCCCTGGGAGAAGTAGCCATTTTAGAGAGTGACATACCGGCGAAAAACTAAGAAAAATATGTGGCAGGCAGCCGTGGAAAGGGGAGCAGGTGAGATAATGAAAATAGCCGGGCAGCCTGAAGACAAGAGAGCGTGGGTGACTCAGGATGCGAAACACAACTAGCCTAAGGTTGAATAAAAAGATTGTCACATCTGGCGGAGGCTGATCTGGTGATTTGTCCTCCTGAAGACACACAAGTAAGCAGTTTTAAATCCAACCGAGCTGTGTAAGTGCAAGGGTTTTATGCGCTCGGTTAAGGGGCGGCCCCCTTACCTGCCATTGGGCACGCGCTCCTGTCTGTCAAGCCAGACTTGGTGCATTTGGATGCTTCTGCAGAGGTCAGGCACGGATGACCTTCCCATAGGTGGATCTCAAACATCTCGAACACGAGATGATGAAAGAGAACATCACACCACAGGTTAAAAAAAAATAAAAAATTCTCTCTTCAAACCTTTCTAGAACTTTTGAGGGTCATTTTAAATTAAGATTTTTAACAGTATTTTCAACAGTATAAACTGAGAAAAGGCCATATTTAAATTTTCTCTTAAAATGTTATAATTAAAAATTAAGACATTTTGAGAATGTTGTAAATAAACATTGTTGTCTATCATGAAATTATGGGAGAATTTATATTTGATGTTTCTGAAGAGAACATCACACCACAGGTTAAAAAAAAATAAAAAATTCTCTCTCTTCAAAACCTTTCTAGAACTTTTGAGGGTCATGTTAAATTAAGATTTTTAACAGTATTTTCAACAGTATAAACTGAGAAAAGGCCATATTTAAATTTTCTCTTAAAATGTTATAATTAAAAATTAAGACATTTTGAGAATGTTGTAAATAAACATTGTTGTCTATCATGAAATTATGGGAGAATTTATATTTGATGTTTCTGTGTCTCAGACAATGCGTCTAAAAAGTGTAAGAAAAACACACGATTTTAAGGCATCATAACTGTGTACTGTTCTTATGGAAAACACAAATATCTTAATTGTTACCTTGTATGGTGAAGAAAGATCCTCCAAGTTTCTTGCAGTGATCCGATTATCGATCTGTAGTGAGTTGAGTTCACTTAATCTCCCTGGACAGCAGAGGAAGGCGATTAAGTCCTTTTTAAAATGATTCCTTCAAGACACGCCTCCTCTGAAAAGCTCACAGCTGGGAAATTGAAACTTAAGCTGGTTGGAAGGGAGTAGCCTACTAGTTTTTCTGATTTATTATGAATTATGCACAGTATGAACTGTATACTAAAATAGTATTTGGAACAGTATTAGTACGCTATGTCACATGACCACATTGCATTGTATGTTTAATGCAGAGTGGAATTCTGGAAATAAAAAAGCTATTTTGCTTTTCTAATGCATATTTGAACATTTGCACTATATATATGCTATATATGTATACTGACATAATATGACTATGCTATCGTGAATGCTTGTGTACGTAGGTGATCGGTGTTATAAACTGACTTAAAAAAGAAATACATAAAAAAAAACGTGTAAAAGACACAACCAAATTGCTAAATGAAAATTGAAAAACTAATGTAAGAACAAATATATGCTATGCATGTTTAAATTTGTTCCTAAAAAAAAATAAGAATAAAAATTAAGTTGAAAAAAGAGAAAAATATTAAACCGAATACAAAATATTATTAAATACAATATCAAATACTCTAAAATAACACTGGTGTGCATTGAGTTAAATGTTGTAAATTGTTTCCAATAGTAGTAATTAGGACCTAAAACATTTACACAAAGAAATCAGTCAAACATAAGTGTACATTTCTAGATTAAAAGAAAGAAAAAAAGTGAAATCATATGCATCAATTTAAGGCACCAAGGCACCATACCAAGGCACATTTCATTGACTGTGTTAGCCAAGTGTATTTTACTCATTTACTCTTTTTTTTTTGCTTTTGTATTGTACTTAGGGTGCACATTTCTCTAATAAGATAAAAACCCTAACTGATGAATATCTTGCAATATTTAGCCAATGAAATATTTTGGATCACAACAACTAGGACGAAAAAAATTAAGTTCTGGAAATCTCATGAGAAGCCTGCTTCAGCAGCATAACTTGAAGAGAGAAAAAAAAAAGTTTTCCTGTAAAAAGGGTGGTGCTGCTTCAGAGCAAAAGATAGGAAACCGAAACTTACTGTTTTTCAACTGCATTTCAGTGATAATCTCTAAGAACAGTTACTTGCAAAATATGCAAAAGGTAATTCATAATGACAGACGTGACAGACTGTTGTTTGTTAGATCATTTCCTTTTCAAACCAGCTTTTATTTCACTATCATCTGCACCATGACGACAGTCAAGAGCAATTTTGTGCTGTAACACAATGATCAGAGGCCAAGAGATGGACAACACCAACAGGACAAACAAAAAGAAGAATGCCAACCAGCCATACCAAGGCACATTTCATTGACTGTTTTAGCCAAGTGTATTTTACTCATTTACTCTTTTTTTTTTTTTGCTTTTGTATTGTACTTAGGGTGCACATTTCTCTAATAAGATAAAAACCCTAACTGATGAATATCTTGCAATATTTAGCCAATGAAATATTTTGGATCACAACAACTAGGACGAAAAAAATTAAGTTCTGGAAATCTCATGAGAAGCCTGCTTCAGCAGCATAACTTGAAGAGAGAAAAAAAAAAGTTTTCCTGTAAAAAGGGTGGTGCTGCTTCAGAGCAAAAGATAGGAAACCGAAACTTACTGTTTTTCAACTGCATTTCAGTGATAATCTCTAAGAACAGTTACTTGCAAAATATGCAAAAGGTAATTCATAATGACAGACGTGACAGACTGTTGTTTGTTAGATCATTTCCTTTTCAAACCAGCTTTTATTTCACTATCATCTGCACCATGACGACAGTCAAGAGCAATTTTGTGCTGTAACACAATGATCAGAGGCCAAGAGATGGACAACACCAACAGGACAAACAAAAAGAAGAATGCCAACCAGCGGTAGTGAGGAAAACTTGAGGAATGAGTCAAAAATCAAATGAAGAAAGAACAAGTTCAACAGTTGTACAAATAAAAGACTGCAAACCAAGAAAATAGATTCTGCAATTATTACGAACAGCAGTAAAACTGTGAATTCACATCGAAACTGCTGTTTTAATGGAATAGGAGGATGATGGGATAGATATACATATAAAACGCAATGTTTTTGCATTGCTGTATTCTTGCTTTTTTTTCCCCCCACGCATGTGTTTAAGTACACTTGAAAATAAAATGCAATTTTCCTTTTTTAGTTTCACTGGAATATACAACAAACCCCAAATACGTCACTCATGATCTCACACACACACACACAGGTTTGAGACTCCCTTGACCTCAAGTGCCCACACACACACAATCATATTCACACACACTCGAGCGCCTCAGTTTGTGGACACCGTCCTTCTCTTCACCGCTTTCCACATGAGCAAGAGTGGACCATAATGCATCTGTGCCCAGGCTGAAGGGGAAACATCAACAAACGGGTAGATCCTTCAGTGTCACGTACACTACACATCACAGCGACTTGTCAGTTTCAAACACTGAAGCTAAATTCAAGCAGCGCAGCGTCTTCCTCTGGCTACACTGATGCTTTTATGTGGCTCTCTTGCTTAAAGCAGCACAACCTCTTGCGAGCATCAACAGATATGCTGTTCTGGAGGTTCTAAACACGCTCTGGACAATTCATTAGTCTTTTTAAGTGATTTTAGCGAGTGTTAGTAAGAATATCAGAATGATGCTTCCATTGTCCCTCAGAGAACTGTACAGATATGATGGGATTGAAAGGAATAGTTCATGCAAAAATGAAATTGATGTCATCGTTTACTCGCCCTTGGGTCATTCAAACCCACGTTGATTTTTCCAGTTCATAGGTTGTAAAAAAAGGACCAAAATAATGACTTAAAATCACCATAAAATTAAGCATATGACTTGTGCGTTATATTTCAAGTAATATAAAAAGACTGAAATTTACGTCGTTATTCACGGACAATCTTTCCATCTGCCAAAGCTACGACATCTCATTTGTGAAGTGTTTCAAAAATTGTGTGGTCTGACGGTCATTGACTCCAAAACGCTATTGGTTCTTGCGTTTTATAATTGGCATGCCAGTTCGAACAAATTAATACCTTGCACAAAACTATCATGAATTCAGATGACTTGTAATATATCGTCACAACTCACACAGACAACTTTCATGATACTTTCATGGTGTTTTTTTTCTGTAGAACAATTTATAGGCTTAGACCTAAACTTATTTAACACCCAAAAAGTCATCCCTATGACTTGTACATTATATTTCAAGTAATACAATGGCTTAGTGTGAGAGAAAAGATTTAAATTTATATTGTTACTCAATGATAATCTTCCCATCTGCCAAAGCTCTGAAATCTTATTTGCTAATAGTTTAAAAAACTGTGCGGTTTGACAGTCATTGACGCAACAAAATCCCAATGGTTCTTGTGTGTCGTAATTGCTGTACCAGTTTGAACAAGTGGAGATTTCATGAACAAAACTACTGTTTTTTTTTTTTTTGTAGAACAGTTTACACTTGTCAAGCTACAAAAAGTACCAAAATAAGACTTTTGCATACGACTTGTACATTATATTTCAAGTAATACAATGGCTCAGTGTGAGGAAAAGACTGAACTTTACATTCTTTCTCAATAATAATCTTCCCCTCCACTGAAGATCTGACATCTCATTGCGAAAGGTTATTGACTCTAAAACACCACTGGTTCTTTTGTGTCGTAACTGCTGTGCCAGTTAGAACAAGTGTAAAATTTCTTGCACAAAACTAGCATATAGATACGGAAGACTTGGAATATAGCATCACAAATCGCACTACGACTATTTTTATGATACTTTTATGGTGTTTGACAAGTGGTCATTCTATGTTAACATTAATAGGAAAGAGCTGCATATTTTGAAGAAAAAAAAAAAAAGGTGGTGAGTAATCATTGACAGATCTTTCATATTTGTGCAAACCATTCCTTTAAAATCCATAATCCAAGGCGAGCTCTCAAACTACGTCTCTCACACAAACACGCTCAATGAAAGAAACGAGCAATACAGCGCTTCTCTGAACTCACTCGCACATGCGCTAATTCACACACACACACACGCAATCAAACAGGCCTTCGTATCCCCCGGATGTTTAAGGATGTGACGTCCACAGCTTGAGGAAGATGTGTGGAGCGGGAAAGGATATGTTTTCCTAACTCTAGCATTTACTGAACCACAAACCCTATGTTTTAATAATCCTGTGAACATGAGGAAAACAGAGAGACACACAGTGGATGGTGGCGGGAGAACGTTCCCGAACCATTTCGGTGTTCCTTATTGTCCACTGAGTAGAGCCCGGCTGGCGAAAGAGAGAACGCGTATCTCGACATACTACGATAAGGGAAAAGAGAAGGGGGCAGCTGATTGAGCTTTCGTTTTTTTTGTTTTTCTGGGAAACGGGACAGTGAGGGCACGGCGGGGCATGTGCGTGATTGGGATCAGAAGATATCCGGGCAGGAGTCCCAGTTGCCCTGCTCCTTGGCCTCCCAATATCCTCCTTTGTAGATGTGCGTGGGCTCTCCTGTCACCGGGTCGACGAGCTGCTCAAACCACATCGACTTGTAGTTGTCCTGGTGACCACCTGATCGAACAAAACAAACATGTACATAGAAAAGCAAACAAACGGTCACTTAATTAAAGAACAGCAGGTACATGAGTACGCAAGTAACTCAATAGAGCCTTTACAGTCTTTTCTGCAAAACTACTGGAAACTATTTCAAATATAGCCAGGAGCTTACAAGACAAATGCTGACTAAACTATTCAATCTAAACTAAACACAAATCACCTACAATCTCTGATTCAACACACCTCACTCTCTACATTTACACAACAGGCAGATAAGCAGGAACTAAGAGAAGCACATGGTCAACTCAGGAGAAAAAATTATGAACAAAAGGAGGAAAACAATATTGGTAACATTTAGAGGTGGGCGGCATGACCAACATTTTATATCACGGTCCAAGTTACATGGTGAAACTTTATATTGTAATGGAAGGATATATAAGAACGCAGTTATTTTTGCTGAAAAATGAACCTACAGTGGGTACGGAAAGTATTCAGACCCCCTTCAATTTTTCACTCTTTGTTATATTGTGAATACTTTCCGTACCCACTGTATATATTACATAATGCTAATTTCTGCACAAAATTATTTGCAAATAATACATACTTCAGCACATTTGACTATGGAATGTGAGTGTGTGTGTATGTATATATATATATTTATATATATATATATATATACACACACACACACACACACACACACACACACACCTATTTTACATATATTTGCATATAACCTATTTTACAAATAAGTACCTAAATTGTTTAGGATAGGGTTTATTTGGATTCTAGAATGGTTTATAATTGGTGTGAAAGCAAAAGGCCATCCAAATAAAAATGTATATATATATTAAATATTGGTAACACTTTTTTTACGGTGACCTTGTTACACATTACATGTACGTACTATTATAATAACAATAAATTAAGCATAATTGCATGCAAATAACCCCAAACCATCCTAACCCTAACCATATAGTAAGTACACGTAGTAGGGCTGCACAATTAATCAAATTTCCAATCGCAATTACAATTATGGATGCCACAATTATGGGTGCCACAATTACGTAATCGTTCAAAGCGGCAATTAATCGTTCAAAGTCCACTTATGTTATTCTGCACGCTTAAGATATGTTTTTTCTTTCTACATGTTATCTTAAGGGTTTTTCCATTGCTTTAGTTTTAGTATAACATTATAACACCATTCATATTTTTACTTTTTTTATAATTTAAAGAAGAAACCAATCCGATGTATATTTGACATTTGAGGCTCAATACTATAGAAAAGCACTAAAGGTTTTTCAGTTAGTGTTTTCAGCTTGTTTATTTTCATATAAAAATACGGCATGCAGTTGCATCAAACAATGGTATAAACATCATTCAATGTAAATTGTGATAATCGTAATTAATAATCGCAATTACAATTTCAAGGGAATAATCGACAATTATGATTTTTGTCATAATCGTGCAGCCCTAACACGTAGTTAAATAATATTACTCAGTTTTTAAATGTATAATATAAAGTGTAACCTAAATATTATATGAGAATAATTACATAATTACGAGAACATAATGTCTAACTCAATTATACAAATATTTCTAAATTTAGTTATGATCTTTCATTATTTTACTTATTAAATGAACTGAAGTACATTTCATTTGTATATTGATATATTCATTATTAAATATTCAATTATATTTTATTAAAGCACAGGTGTGCATATATTGGAAACAACCTACTATTTCACACTGAATGTGAGTGGCATGACATGTCAATTAAATTGTTAAACTGTGGTTTTCTGCTTGATCATACCGCCTAGCCCTATTAGCTGAGAGATGGAGGGGCTGGAAGGTTTTGGGTGAATGTTACTTGCTTTTGACTGGAGCTCCATAAGGACCCTCCACTAGAGCGACACAGAACAGATAACGAGACAGTAAGGGTCTTTTCCAGTGAGGGGCTCACAAATGCACAATGCAAAGTTTGATCCCACAACTGCCATTTTATAATGTGTGTGTGATGTATAACATGATGCATGTGTGTGTAACTGTCTGTGATAATCAGGGTATAAGTTTCACATTATGAATACATTAACATGAATTGTGGATCTTGTGCTGTTAGCAACAAATGTATTATGCTGTATAATGTATAACATGATCCCCATACATTGTAAAAATATAGCTCTAACAACTGTTTCCACTTTTATTCCAGTTACATAATTCCACTTCATTACAAACACTGGCTTTGTACGCATCTGTGTGTGAAGTGAACGTGTGTAGTACTTGCTTGAGTATGCAGGTGGGTGTGAGCCGTGCAGTGTTTCAGCTGCAGAAGCACAGAGATGAAGATGGAGGGATGTAGGCAAGAGAAGAGGATTGAGAGAGATGTTAGCATGCACGGGAGGAGTGAACTGAAGAAATTAAAGAGTCACATGGAATGGACTTCAACACTGACTGTAGTTTCTGTTTATGATACTGTCTAATATACATTCACAATTTATGCATTCACACTGCCCACTAGTGGAAGTAAAATACATGCACAGGCATGTGATTTAAAATGCTTATGTTTCAAAATGCATGATGCAAGAATTAATTCAAATAAGAACTAAGTCTAATTATCTGCTTGTTTCTATTTAGCAGTGTTTTCACAGCTAAATTGCCTCAAATACGTGATCTAGGATAGGGTTCATAAGGAGTAGTATGATTTATAACTGGTTTGAAAGCAATGCATTAAAAAAATAATAAAATTGTATCGTTGATGCATCACTTTTGATGATGTGAATGCAGCAAGATACAATCAGAAAAGAAATCTGCAGAGGTGAAATCAAACTCAGGTCGAGACTAAATAATCAAACCAAGTGTGAAAACAGCCTAAAACAACTAAACAACACTTCAGTGTTGATTCGGCTACTTGCTTGATAGCGAAAGATCGGAGGAAGTTTCATCTGTGTCAGCTGATGGGAGGGACAGACAGATGGAAAATGAAGATGATTGGATGATAAATGCGAGAAACAGTGTGATTAGGAGAGAGGGGTGGGATGGTACTTGCTTTTGTAAGTGGTCTCAGAGGGCTCACTGGCAATCTCGACTTCTTCGGCTGATCAGAGTTGAGACGAGCAGTCAAAAATTAAAAAGGGGGATGCAAATTAAGACAAAAACAAAAAAAGAAAGAATACAATGAGTGAATGGCATAATGAAGGCGGGGAAAGTGCTTCTGGATATTAAAGGGACAGTTCACCCCAAAATAAAAATTCTGTCATTTACTCACCTTTATGTCATTCCAAACTTCAATGAGACTTTTTTTTTTTTCATACATGGAACATAAAAGGTGAATTTTCTAAGAAAAATAGCACCAAAGTATTACAAAATTGGTGTACTAATACTTTATGGTACTTGGTACTTGTCATTTTAGAGCCAGAGTTAACTAAAACTATGAAAAAAAAACATTTGCATTAATTGAAATAACATAGATGCTAACTGAAATAAAATAAAATACACATTTTTTTAAATTTTTTTAATTTCAGTTAGTTGCAATGGCAAAATTAAAAATTTTAATTTAGTGTAGTGAAAGTTCTAAACTTTCTAAAATTAAAAATAACTAAAATCATAAAATAATAGTAATAATATAAAATCTAAATAAATACATTTAAAAAACAAATGAAACCGACAAATAAACACAACAAAATTAACTAAAACAAACTAAAATTTGTAAATAAATAAATAAATGAATAAAAAATTCAAAACCTGACTTACTAAAATGGGGGAAAAAATACTATAATAGTATATCAATGACATCAAAATAACACTATTTGGAGTGCAACCGTTTTAGTCCCTTTGTTTAATTCTACGGAAAAGCCCCACGGATGAAAGAAAGCCATGTGGATTTGGAACAAACTGACAAAATGCTCATTTTTAGGTGAACTATTCCTTTAATGTCATGCAAATAAGCACTATTACAGTGACTGCATATGTGTTTGTGTGAGATGGGAGAAAAAGAAGACGACGACAATTAAAGAGAAAATAAAAAGGAAGTAGAACAGGAGTACTTGCATTTTAGAGGCGAGTCAGATATGGAGTCCTCAATGAGAGCTTGAGGGAAAGACAAGAGACAGACACACGGGAGTGAACGAGAGACGCCGAGGAGGAGGAAGAAAGGAGGAGAGACGAGTAGAAAGATAAATAAAAGGACACTTTACCCCCGTCCGCTGACTCCTTACCCTCTTCTGAAGGGCTGGCGGCACGGTTGGCCTCTCGCTCCCTCTCTCGGCGGACAGTGCGCTGCTTCTCCTCCAGCCTTTGTTTCTCAGCGTTAGCCTCCTCCCAGCGGCCCTGCTCCATTAGACGCTGGTCCGGCCGCCTCCTACTATCCGTGGGAGCAACACCCTCCTCCAGCTCGTTCAATGTCAACGCCAGGGTCGAGAAGTAGTACATGTTTTCAGCGCCTTCCCTACACAGCACAGAGAGAGAAAAATGGCAGGAAATTATGGAGAGATCAGGAAATTCCAACTGAATTCACACTTGAGCACCACAACACAATGTGCCAGAGAACATGCACTAAATTAATTAGGCAATGGCTTTGTAATAGGCTTGCTGTGATAGACGGTGTTTTCGGTTATACCGGTGTTAAGCTGCAACACCGGTTACGTCATTTGCCTACCGCGGCACCGCCTACTGTGTTTGCTGATTACTTTATTTAAACTTTGTGTATTTTATTTATTTTATTTTACATCAAGGTGTATATGCCGTGCCTCCAAGCTTTCTTATTCGTTTTGCTAATAAACGTTCTATGTTTCTTATTTATTTGGTTCCACAGTGTTTGCTGATTTTCAGTTTTATATACCTATTTAAACTTTGTGTAGCCTAAGTAATTTGTTATTTTATTAGGTATAGGCCTATATGGTTTATTTTTATACGTTTTGTTAATAAAAGTTCTGGGTTTGACATTGTTGTTGCTTGAATTGAATCAACGCTGAATTGCCCCCAATTTGAAAGTGAAAGTAAAATGCGCACAGAGCTTTTTCAAGCTATTTGAAAGCCAAGAAATCCAAGGAAAAGGGGGAAAACTCAAACGAACAATTGCTTGACGTCGAATTGCGGCAGTTGCCACTAATTTGAAAGTGAAAGTAAAATTCGAACGGCACTTTTACAAGCCATTTGAAAGCGAAGAAAAGAGGGAAACTCAAACGAACTAAACCCCCACCCCAACGGTGATACCGGTATTACCGGTGTTGTCACTCGTCGATTAACCGGTGGGAAAATTTCCTCACCGTCACAACCCTACTTTGGAACCTTCCTTGGAAGTCTCGTCTATTCTAATTAATATACATGAATTAAATTAATATTTAATGAGTTTAATACAAGTTAAACCGACAGCATTTGTGGTATAGTGTTATAATAACCACAAAAAAATACTTTTGACTCGTTCCTTGTTTCAAGGTTACAGTGAAACACTTACAATGGTAATGTGTAGGACCCAATTTTGGAGGATTTTAATGCAGAAATAGGAAGCCTAGAATTTTATAAAGCACTGTTTCCCCTGAAATTTGAGTACACAATAATAATAGTAATATATTAGGGCTGCACGATAAATCGCATGCAATATTTAATGCGTATCTTGTCAGAAAGCCGGTTCTGTAATCAGCGGTAAATCTCCATCACGTGCATGCTTTCACATTGAGCAGCATTAACTACACAGAACCGTTGTTCACTGACAAGCTGCGGAAAACCACGTTCATATTCGCGCGATTTTTTGCGCAGCTCGTCAGTGAACAACGGCTCTGTGTAGTTAATGCTGCTCAATGTGAAAGCACACACGTGATGGAGATTTACCGCTGATTACAGAACTGGCTTTACTGATAAGATGCGCGTTAAATATCGCATGCGATTAATCGTGCAGCCCTATAATATATTATTATTATTTCTATCATCAATTTTCAAAATATCTTTATTATTATTATTAAAAAAAAAGAAATTTAACCAATGCAATACTATTGTACTATAAAATAAAAAAGTAGTACTTAATAATAATAATTCATTTTACAGAACAACAGTAAATTGACACTAATATTTATGTCTGTCTTGATTTCTTTGCTTCCAAAAGTGAAATCACAGAACTTTTATTTTGGCATGAAACTGAAAGGAGACCTCAAAACTTCTCTTTGTGCAGCTCTGTCAGAATGTCTGTTAAATATATTTGAAAACAGCATTTTTTTTTTGATTTTCACAATTCACGTGGATCATACTTTTCAGGTTGGGAAACTACAAAAAATACAACTTGTGCTTTATTTTAGCAGTAAAGCTGTTTAAATCATAACTTTTTACAGTCGTTTTAGGGTTCATGGTGTTCCGTTGTCATTACAACAAATTTATAAAACTGGACGCAACTTATAACAGAATTTTTTTTTTTTTTCTAAAATCATGTTAACACTTACAATGTTTACATCTTGTGGCTGTATGATTGAAACAGTGAGTATTTTAATTTTTACAGATTGGCCCAATTCACTTTCATTGTGTCTGCTTCACTGTAACTCATATATTTATTTTATTTTTTTTTAAGAAATGGAAAGACAAATGCTGTCGACTGAGCTTAACTTGGGAAATATTCCTTTAATTGCGCACGTCAGGGAATATCTTACGGCAGCGGAGTCTTCCTCCACAACTCTTTGGCTTTGAGCGTCTGATAGACGGTTTTCTGTCGTCCGTCAGCGCCGTTCTCTCCCCCTCTGCTGCTCTGCATCACACGTGAGTATTCCATCTTCTCGTCCCACGTCCCAGACAGAACATAGTGCGCTTTCCCATCTTTATCCGTCACCACCCCTGTGACCTAGAGAGAGCCATTGCACAAGAAGGAAGTGAAAGCAGACATAAATTCCAGAACGGGCAAAAAGAACATGAAAAGTTGCAAAGGGTGATTGATGAAAGGGGAAAAAACTGACATGGAAAGAAGTCAGTGGAACAGCTGCTGACTCACCTTTCTGGCCACATCTCTGGAGAAGTAGCTGTACGGTGCGAATTTGAGATGACAGCGGTCGCCTGTTTTGTGGTTCACAACATCTATTTCTCCTGACTGAATCCAGAGAGAAAGAGAAAGAGAGAGACACACATTTATCACTTATGAATTAAATGAAATTCCACACTATAGGTATTGCAATTTAAGGGCTACATTTGTATAATGCAAATGCAAAACCACCAGTAACGCTAATGATTTTGGGGAAAAATTTAATGCACAAAAAAACTGGGTGCCAATTTTGTTATATACATAATATCATTTAAATGACATAAGCAAGTTCATAAGAAAGTGTCATGTACCAAAAATTGCTGTAATGAAGTGAGCACATTTTATACACAATATTTACAGAAATTACTGTAGCATTATCTGCTGACAAGTCCATCAGCTCATTTTGTGACAGACACACTGATGATGATAATATGAAAATATATGTCTAAATAAGCAGACTGTGTTCTGACCTGATCTATCCAGAGTTTCCCGACAATGATATTGTGCACTGTGGTTGTGACTTTCTTCCAGGTGTAGTGATTGGTACTCTTCTCAAAAATACAATGAATAGAACCTGGAGAAACAAGCAATTCAAAATGAGCTTGAAAACTCTTGCTTAAAGACATAAATGTAAGCATAAGACATTCAAATATCCATCTTTCCACATGAACAAAATATACTAATATATTAATGCAGAGATTCCACATTTATTTTGTCAGCCAAACCTTTTGACTTAAAATATCCTTTACTTGAAATACCCCGAGATTTTAAGATACTACTTTAATAATTTAACAACATTTTAAACATTTAATTTTAATTTAACAGAATTTACAGTTCTCTGATGTTGGTTAATAGTCACATGACATCATGAAAATAAATAAAATATTTATTTGTATTTAATATATAATAAATATTTTTTAGTGTTTTATATTGAATGTTTTTATTTTCAATCATTTATACATTTTCATTTAACATTTTTATGATTTAATTGTTTTTTTTTTATCATCGATTCACAAAACCTAGTTTGGACAACCCTGTATAGTACCAGTTAAATTGGCATATCAAAAAAGTATTTGGATATTTAAGTCGCAATTAAAAATGTCCAAATGTTGTTGCATTAAATTAAATATCAAATCATGTGATACTTACTTTAAAGGCAGCACTGGCACACTTCAGGCAAAACATTTAGTTTCAGTTAGTTTTTAACTTTTACTGTTGAAACTGCTACAGTTAAAAACACTTTGCATTTGTCAAATGTTAGTTGAACATGTTCATAGTTAATGTAATTATGTGTCCAAATACGTTTTGATTTCACTCGACATTGTTTCTAATAGATTTATTGCATTACACTTCCTGTTTTATAATATGTTTGTTTTTTAAAAATAAAAAACGTCCCTTTTAAATGAAAGCTGCATGTTATTTTAAAACTTGAACATTGTGATAAGGCTCAAAATAGGATAAATAGTTACCCAGGGGCATGATGGAGAGATATTTTCCCCTGAACTTGCTGGCCAAGGCAATCTCCTGTCTCAGCGTCCAGCCTCGCTCGGAGATCGCGTGATGAGCCGCAGCCGGAGGGTGATGGCTTACCTGAAGAACACATTAATATCAAGCGCAATTCGCTTCAGTTCAGCTCTTCCTCTATCTCAGGATAAACAAAGGCTCACCTGCTCGCAGAGGGACCTGTAGCCGCTCTCCTGCACGCGGTCCAGCTCAAATGTCTCTCCCAGCAGAGGGTTGAAGGGTTTGCCCGTGCGGTGAACTGTAGTGGAGTAAGAGGACACGGTGAAAGCTGCCACGTAGCACATCTGCTCCAGAGAGCTCTGGCACTTGGCGGCCCGGTCCAGCAGCTCGTAGTACTCCAGATCCTCGGAGAGACGCTGCAGCATGGACAGGGGCTCGTTGAAGTTCACCTGTGAAAAGAAAGGATGCGTTGACAGCAAATGCAATGAACCTGGGCTGTTTGGGATTCTCGTAAAGACACGGATGAACGTACAGGCATAGGGATTTTGGAGAGCTCTTTTCCGATACAGTTCTTCATGATGCTCCATAGATTGAGAGAGTAATTTGGTTTATCTGGGATTCGGGTCCGCCTCTTTCTCACAGGCACTAGTTCCTGGGACTGTGGAGATTCGGGATTGGATGCCAGAGACTGCTCATCTAGCTGTGAGAGGTTAAAAAAAACATGAACTTTAGTTGTCAATATGGGTTTTTGGATTTATAAACATCACATGGAATCGAATTTGACTCACATACAACGGTGGTCAAAAGTATGGAATAATTACAATTTTTTTATGTTTTTTTCGTTATCTCTTCTGTTCAACAAGGCTGCATTTATTTGATCAATAATACAGTAAGAACAGAAATATTCTGAAATATTTTCAGAAATGTTTTCTATTTGAATATATTTTAAAATGTAATTTATTCCTGTGATCAAAGCTGAATTTTCAGCATCATTACTCCAGTCTTCAGTGTCACATGATCCTTCAGAAATCATTCTAATATGCTGATCAAGAAATATTTAAAAATCACATTTTTAAATTGTAATAATATTTCACAACATTACTGCTATTACTGTATTTTTGGTCAAATAAATGAGCCATGGTGAGCTTAAGAGATTTCTTTCAAAAACATTAAAAATCATAATTATTCTGCCAGTGTACAGAAACACTAACAACATAACGCCTTACCGACGTCGTCCCGTCGTCCATTCCCAGTTCGCTACTGATTCCGCTGACATTGCTGCCGGATCTCCTGAGAGAAATTAAAAGAGCGTATGAGAGAGCCAGAGAGTGAGAGAGAGAGGAGGAAGGGGAAGGGGAAGGGAAGGCAGAGGACACACACACTTAGGTCCAATAACACTCATATGAGAAGAGAGTTAAGGGACAGCGAGGGATGTGAATAAACGACAAGAGCGAGGCAGTAAATACAGACCTGTGATATTTGGGGTCTGCTGGTACGGTGATAAACTCTTGAACGTCCTCGCATGCGTCGAAGAATTCATTCTCCTCATCCTCGTCACTGGCGTCACCCTTTCCTGAAACTGGGCCTATAGGACAGAGAAAGCAGGAAGTATAAAATATAAACAGGACATCAGTATGTCATATCCAAATGTATAGCAGGAGTTTTTAAATATAGAAATGAGTTAGAATGATCAATATTCACAAGGAATTGGCTGACAATTTAAAAAAATAAGGAATACTTTGAATATTGCAAAGGTTTCATTGCAAATTTTTTAATTGGCCAATATGTTTGTTAAAGAATAGAAAAGGAGTATTTTGAATCAGTTCAAACTGTATAATTCAAAATTTAAATTTTAATTGATTAAAAAAATCTGATTTAATGACTCATTTGCAATACCAAAACATTTTTAAGCAATTTAGTTATTAAAATGTTGTGAAATACACTACCTTATTGTATCAAAATTAATTAATAATTTTATTAAGCATGCATTAAATTGATCAAAAGTGTCAGTAAAGACATGTATAATGTTACAAAAGATTTATATTTCAAATAAATTGTTCTTTTAAACTTTTTATTCATCAAAGAATCCTGAAAAAAATGCATCACAAAAAGTTCCCACCAAAATATGAAGCAGCACAACTGTTGATAATAATAAATGTTTCTTGAGCAGTAAAATAGCATATTAGAATGATTTCTGAAGGATCATGTGACACTGAAGACTGGAGTAATGATGCTGAAAATTCAGGTTGCGTCACAGGAATAAATTACATTTTACAATATATTCAAATAGAAAACAGTTGTTTTGAATTGTAAAAATATTTCACAATATTACTGTTATTACTGTATTTGTGATCAGATAAATGCAGCCCTGGTGAACATACGAGTCTTAAAAACATCCAACCCCAAACTTTCAAACTTTTTTGTATATTTAGGTACATATTTCTGTTTATTAACATGTAGTGCTATACTACTTTGTTTAATGAAAACTGTGCTGTGATTAAAAATTTCTGTTTCAGTTTTGAAAGACTCGTTCAAAAGAATCTGCTTATAAAAGTCACTCATTGGTGAATCAGACATCACTAGTTGTCACTTCATTGTTGTGTGCAACTAGTGAAGACACCGCATTAAAAATCTTAGTCTACATATTAGTCTATATATAATTTTGTGGCACCCAGACTTTCGGTTTCAGTTGTACAGTACCTTTGCTATCTATTGCAGGGTTGCTCTGGGATGCAGGCAGTACGGTTGCTCCTCTGAAGGCTCTCTCCAGATGGTTGTGTTGTTTGGCGAGCTGCTCCAGTGTCTCCTCCAGTCGCACTCTCTGCTCTCTCTCGGCCTGCAGGGCTTTCTGCCAGCGCTTACTGTGAGTCTGAGCCAACGCCAAGAAGTCCCGGCAGGCCTGGGTATCAGATTGTTAGAGAATCATTAAGAATATGTTTAACTGTGGTTTCTGTGTGCTAAACAGACAACCACAAGTGAATGAGGCAGTGAGTCGCTTTTTCCCTAAAGCAAATGTTTTGCTCGGTGGTCTTACGTTGATCATGGCATTGGAGGTAATGCGGAAGAGAGTGGCTCGCTCCGTCACCTGTCGAATCTTTTCACTCGTCTCTCCTCCTAGCCGAACTCCCTCCAGCTCAGACAAGGACCTGAAAGAAAGCATAATAAACAACAAATTGGCCGTCACACACAGACTTTATATGAGCCGAATCTGACTGGAAAACCAAAGGTTTTAGACACACCTTCATTTTCTTGAATATTACTATTTTCCACACTTCAAAATAATAGTAAAACCATCAAAACTGAAGTGAAATAAAGAGTGTGTGTGTTCATATAGATATATAGATAAACAGACAGAAACCTGAAAAAAATAAAATAAATTTGAAATGTTGCCTTGGCAAATTACTGAAATAAAAAATAAGTTGAAGTTCTAAAATTACTAAAACTTAAACTAAAAATAAAACTGAAAATATAACAATAAAATCTAAATCAAAATATTAATATCTTAAAATATAAATAAAATAAAACTTCTAATTAGAATAAAAAAAAAATCTAAATTAGAAATGCTGCCTTGGCACATAACTGAAATAAAATAAGTTGAAGTACATAAATTACTGAAACTTAAGCTTAAATTAAGTTTTAATATAATATAAAAAATAAATATGTAACATTAAAAGCTAAATCAAAATATTCATGTTATTTTAATAAAATATTAATATAATTATTTTGATTATTTTTAATTAAAAGTAAATAATTTAATAATTTGTAAATAAATATAATTAAAATAATAATTAAAATAATGTAAAAAATATATTGATATATGAATGAAATAATAATAATAAATAAATTTCAAGCAAAGGTTATTGATGTCATGAGAGCCATAAATTTAGTCAAGTGTGTCCAAACTGGTGGAGAAAGGTGGACTGACCGCTGCAGAGCAGAGCCGTGTTTGGCGATGAGGTCGTTGCAGGTGCTGAGATCCTCCACCTTGCTGCCCAGCGTCCGGAGGGTGGACTGCACCTCTGAGTTGCGTGAGCCTGCACCCTGACCTGCTGCAGGAGGAGTGGAATCATCCCCGGAGTCATCTGCAGGAAAAAAGAGGAACGAAAACTGTGAAACAGAAACCTCAAAGTGTGCATTTTTGTGCTATTCTTGCAAATGTGGTTTCCCATTCCTATCCAACGGACCCGATTCAGCCTGCATGCGGAAAGCTTTGGCTTTGGCCAGCTCCAGTGCTGTGATCCACCGCTGCCGCTCCACCTCCGAGCTGGCCTTCAGGTGATACGTCTGCGTGCCGCCATTAGAGATGACGAAGTTGCAGGAGTCCTCCACCGCGATATTGGCCGTGGCCAGGTTTATGGTGCCCCGACATGTGTGACCCATCTCCGCCTGGGTCCTGGAAGAGCAAAAGGGATGAAGATAAGATGATGTGTTTAAGATAAAACACTTTAGTTGGTCATATTTATATCCTACTTTAGATTCAAGCTGGGTTTTTCAGTTTACATGACGTTCAGACGGACCCTTCCTCACTAAACAGGTGGCCAGAATAAGACGCACTTCATAATGATAGTCAAAGTCTGGTTTTGTGAGGATAGAGCAGCATTTATGAGGCTCTCTTTAAACTAGTCAAATCTTGAACAAAAGCCCCGACAGCTGTTTTTCAGCATCTGATGCAATATTCATGAATTAGCACTGAAAGGCAAGCATTCGAGAAATGCCTTCAGGTAGAGTTTCTTTCACTCTTGAGCATTTATGTGACAAATGATACAGTGCGTTACTGCTGCTATCACAGTATCTGGTATCAGACTGAAAACGAGCCTCATGTTTATGATCTTAGCAGATATTCTGAAAAATATTGACCTCAATAAACAATTCTGAATCTGAGCATGAATCAAATTAACCAGCTCCGAAATTAATAAATCAAATGTAAGACTGTAAGACTTAGACTGCAAATACAAAAAGCAATATATTAAAAGTTTATTGCAAAATATTCAATAAACTCAATTCACATTCATAAAGAGGAGTACTACATTTACTAAAACTAAAATAAAAATAAAAATAAATTAAAGCTAAAAAAATGTAAAAAAACAAAAACGAATAAAAATGACTAAAGCACAAACAAAAATTAAAGGGATAGTTCACCCAAAAATGAAAATTCTGTCATTAATTACTTTACCTTCATGTCGTTCCAAACCCGTAAGAAAAAAAAAAAGTATTCTCGTAGCTTCATAACATTACGGTTGAACCACTGATGTAACATGGACTATTTTAACGATGTCCTTACTACCTTTCTGGGCCTTGAGCGTAATAGTTCCCTTGCTGTCAGTGTCTATGCAGGATCAGAAAGCTCTCGGATTTCATCAAAAATATCTTAAATTGTGTTCCGAAGATGAACGAAGTTCTTACAGGTTTGAAATGACATGAGGGTTAGTAATTAATGACAGAATTGTAATTTTTTTGGGTGAAGTATCCCTTTAAAACTGAAAATAATAACAAAAGCTAATTCAAAGTATTATTAAATACTATAATAGTATACTGTATAAATAATAGTAAAATAACACTGTTGTATTTTATAAAAATGAGCAGGTCATATGTAAACAGTACCAAATATATACAATATAAATAAAGTTTCCATCTTTAACTGTAATTTGCCAACACGGATGAATCACCAGTTCCAGGATTTTTCATACTCGGCAGGAAAAAATGAGGCAAACCTGTTTGGCTGATTTAACAGAGGCACAACAGTCCAGAGCCTGTAACCTGTGAAACTGTGAAATCTCTTCCTCGCCCTCTACATTTCCTGATGCATCTTTCAAACACACAATGAGAGTGATGAGAAACCATTGCAGGACCAGAGGAAGTGCTGAAATCAAGCCTTAAGTCGAGCCTGTGATCCTCCTGAACAGAGTTGACCTCTTAAGACTGTCATGTGACCCAAACTCATTCAGCCAATCATGTGGAGGTGGAAAAGACAATGTGCACTTGTGTCTTTTATTCACACTGTAATGCTACAGTAAGGTTTGCCACACCATTTGACTTATGCATTTTCATGACTTTTCTAGTTGTTTATGATTAATGGATATGTATTTTTCAAAAATGATTTCATAGAGATTGCAATCACAAAGAATAATTTCTAGTGGATGAAAATTTTTTAGAGCGGAGCATTGCAACATAACTAAATATTCACTATAGAAATCCAAAACCCGACATTGGAAAAAGTGCTTATCGCTTAAAACTAAATCATTATGGTAATTGTATTACAAAGAATGAGTGGGACGTTTCCACTGTATGTGCAAATATTTTATATATTATGACATCACACAAAAAATGCAATGCACTTCTGGGCGTATTAATAACAACAGACAGTATATGCAATGAACTTCTGAGTTTATTAGACAAGCATCTGTTAAACGGATCTCAGTTTCAACTTAAATTCAGTATATAAAAGTTGGATATGTAACAGATTGCATGATGAATAATCAATAAAATATTTTCTATGTAATACTATTTATGCAAGTAATTCTATTTGAGATTTATCAGAAGTTACTACATTAAAAATTAGTGCAAAGCCAAATTTGATCAGAATTTCATGGTTTTTATTCACATACACAAGTCCAAATGTTGCGATGATTTTTAAATATTTTTAAAACAAGTCTATTATTCTCACCAAGGCTGCATTTATTTGATCAAAAATACATTGAAATAGTAATATTGTGAAATATTATTGCAATATAAAACAAATGTTTTCTATTTGAATACATTTCCTGTGCTCAAAGCTGAATTTTCAGCATCATTATTCCAGTCTTCTGTGTCACATGATCCTTCAGAAATCATTCGAATATGCTGATTTGTGATACATTTTTTCAGGATTCTCTGATTAATAGAAAGTTCAAAACAACAGCATTATAAATGTCTTTACTGTCACTTTTGATCAATTTGCATCCTTGCTAAGTGAAAGTATTAACTTCTTTAACAATAAAAAAATGTCTTACTGACACTAGCTTTTTAATGGTGGTGTATCCATTCACGAAGTGCCAGTAAGCATTGTCAAATGTAGATGTTATTAAATGTCTAATAACTGTCTGCATATCTTTCACTGCAGTTAAAATCAGCTATTTATGAACTCTTTTGGAAATAGGATGTTACAACGCCACACACATAATTTTTTTGCTCATTTTCAGCTCGACCTGAATGAAGCACTACAGATATTTTTGATTTGCTTTGGTGCGGCATAGCACAGTATTTATTTAATGACATTTACATTTCATTTTCGTATTCAAGAAACAATTACAGCATAAGCAAGGTAGTCAAAAATAAAGCAATACTCTCATTAGCCAACTGTTGGGGCGTTGGACTTTGTTATTTTATCGTATATTTAAACATCAGATGATGAGGGTGGATTTTAAAGAATGTGTTACCCTCTCATCTCAAACTGATGAGCAAACAGTGAGGATCGCACGAGCAAACAGACACACATGTGGGCGCTCCTGCACGCTCTCACACACACGCAGCATTAATAATTGACAGAGCCCAATGAGATGAATGCAGCTTCAACATCAGATCAACTCCGACTCAAATCTAATTACATAAAATGGCATCATCTTACAGACCGACGAACACCAGAAGGTGTTGAGTTTGTTCGCCCATTTAGCATCCATCCATCCTAGGGTTATTATCGTTAACTAAAACTATGAAAACTTTTTTTTTATTTATTTATTTTTTTTAAATAAAGCTGAAATATAAAATAAAATATAAATATTAGATAAAAAACTTAAACTTATTTCAGTTAGTTGACAAAGCAACATTTCTCATTTTTGTTTAGTTTAAGAACTAAAGTTACTACCTGGAAATTCAATAAATAAAACCTAAATAGTAATTAAAAAATTAACTAGTAATATTTAAAAAAAATAAAGCTAATAAAAAAATGACAAAACCACATTACAAAATCACAAAAAATTAACTAGTAATATTAAAAAAAATTTCAAAATAAAGCTAATAAAAAATGACAAAACCACATTACAAAATCACAAAAAATTAACTAGTAATATTAAAAAAAATTTCAAAATAAAGCTAATAAAAAATGACAAAACCACATTACAAAATCACAAAAAATTAACTAGTAATATTTAAAAATAAAAACCTAAAAGTAATTAAAAAAAAAGACAAAAGCACATTACAACATTACTAAAAGTTTAATTAAATTTAAAACAAAAACAAAGTATAAAAAAAATAAAAGCTCATTTAAAATATTGATAAAAAACTACTAAAATAACACTGGTCCATCCAGTCCAATGGTTTGAAGTAAGTCGTATGATTTGAGGCATCATCAATAAAGCACAAACAATATGGGAAAGGTTATGCATAAGTTTGAGGGGTTTGTATGAGTAAAAGCAAAAGTGATGCTTGTCGTACCAAGAAAATTTAAGTTATTTCACTATCTAAAGCTTTGCACCTTATCAGATATTGGTGAAAGGCCAAAGCACACTTGACAACATCACAAAGGGTTCATAAGGACATCAGACATTCCTATCAACCATTGGGAGACCTTTTGTCTGACGGAAACAGTACCTGACAACATTTTCTTTTTTTTACAGGTCGCAAACCCACCTGTAGTAAGACAGCAAGCCATTGCTCAGGACGAACCAGCGCCTTTGGTATCCCTTTATGTAATTAGTCCATTTGAAGAGCCAGCCTTTATAGGTGTCCCCAGGGGCCGGGGTGGGCGCTTTGGGCTCCGACATCACGACAGCCCGTGGCTTCACAGTGTCTGACGGGGGTCTGGGGGCGAACACAAAGGGTTAAACAGGTTAGTCGACACCCATGCCTGTGTGATTCACACCTTGATGGACAAGACTTTCTCTTGTACACCAAGGCACCTGAAATGTTTACCTACACACCTAAGTTTTGTCGTTCCCTACCTAGACAGCATTTTACGGGCTGTGTGTAGGTTGACAGCACACTAGGTTTTGAAACACAGCCCAAATCTTCCATATAAAGACTGAAACGTGTTATACTCAGTGGATATCATGTCAACGGGCTCGTTTCGCCTACGTGTCACTCTGTGAACCCACTTCATGACATTTACAGACAAAACTCTTTAAACAGCAGTGTTTACGACCGTAATAAACGAAAATAAACATATCTCGTGCTATTTAAAACTTTGTTTAGATAAACGAGGCCTGTATGTAGGAGTCATTCAAACACAACTACGAGTCCAAATGACGCTAAAATGACAAAGTTTATTCATAACGCCGTGACATATAATATAAACAGTCTTAATGTTTTATTCAAAATCCAGTTTGCTAACACGCATGTGCATAAACGTAAAACGACTTTGACGGCTAATTCAGCTAACGGCTAATAAAACTGACGCGCTATCGCGAGACATGACCGCGTAAAGTCAAAAACACCGATATATCTGTAAATAAAACACTTGTGTGAAGACAAATCAGCGATAAGCCTCTCAAATGCGCGTTTATCCTCTACAGGCCCTTTAATAATGACAGCGTGCGGGGAAATGTGTGTTAAACTGAAGCTAACTAGCCTGTGCTAACCTTCAAGCTGTGTATAATGACAGAAATCCCGACAGTTCATGCAGAACATCAGATGAAACCTCGGGGAAATAACGCAAAGCGACATGACAAGACATGGAAATCTGAAATCCCCAGTGCTGAAATGATTTAAAGTGTGTAGTGGGTGCTTGCCAGCTCTTACCTGATCTCTCAATGATCCCCTCTGAAGAAGGAAGTCAGTGACATGAGATCACAAGAGTGAGTTACTCCGCGCGCACAACTCGCATAAAAGTCACATTATTGCATCTTTCCTCCTTCACACAATACAGACACCGTCCTGACTCTGAGCAGTACATGTGCCTGCATGATTAGACTTACTCGTTAATTACATTTTAGTCGAAATAGGATTTGTTTTAGTGTGTAAATGTGGTAAATATGGCGAAATAGATCAATAAAACCGCCCGAGTTACAGTGATTTTAAGAAGGTGCTTTGTTGTAAAATCACTGTCATGCATGGCTTCGAGTGGTTTATTGCTTTTATAAAACGGTGGCGGCAGTGATATAATAGAAATACAAATGTTCAGCAATCATCTACATGTATTATTTATAATAACCGGAATAAACAGTTCTTCCAAGTAATTTAGTTCATTATCTAATTGTGGGCTGTTTACGGTTGCCGAGCAACTTAGCAACTCAGTGCATTGTGGTTTTTTTTTAACCTCTTTAATAATAACCAGTCATTATCATTATTAAACACAAACAAGGCAAGAAGCATTGAAAGAGAAAATCAATAAGCATAAATAATAGCTATAAATAGTTGCATAAAACAAAAATATTTGCTTACAATTATTTTATAATGAAAATTTTCAAGGAGGTTAATCAGCATGTAACATTATAATATTAATCATCAAATAATTTTAAGAGTTTTGAGGCTTTCGTTTTTGTCAGCAGGTTTAATAAAAAAATGTAAATGTTTTTTAAATGCCACAAAACTTTGGAGCAACCTTAACAAATCACCATTTGTGTAAATAAAACTGGCCTATAATCAAAATAGTATTACACAAATATTATTCATTAAAACACCAAACTTGACAATGTGATATTCAAAAGTCGTTGTTGTGTTCTGATCATTTATACATTTAATCCCAAAATCACGTACCAATAATAGGCTACAATTATAGGAAAAATGTTCCTGAGATTGAAACTCGTTGCATTCATTTAACAGGTGTATAAGCGAATGCCTTTCATTCATCATTTAGGCCACTGTAAATCAATGCAAATTTATAAACAAATAAGTAAGTAAAAAAAAAACTGAACATTTATAAATAATCTTAAAAACAAAATAAAAGTGTAATATCTGGGATATTTTGTAATTTGTTGAAAATTAAATGTGTTCCTTACACTGAATGTAAAATGCTACAGTAAAAACCTGTTAACTGTAAGACACTTAATTCTATGTAGGCTAATAAAATTATATTATTTTATGTAAGGATATGTCCACAAACTCCACCAAATCTTTCTTCTAGTTTGAGGTCAAAGCGTCTAATTCCACCGGTATGTGGCAGATCATTTATAGCCTATATTTAGTTCCAAAATCACGTAACAATAGTACAAATGTAGGGAAAACATTCCTGAGACTGAAACTCGTTGCATTCATTTAACAGGTGTGTAATTAAAGCAATAAGCTAATGCGTTTCATTCATCATTCAGTCATTTTGTTTTGACGTGTCCACTCTAAATCAATGCAAATGAATAAACAAATAAGTAAATAAACTGAACATTTATTAATAATCTTTCAAATCAAATAAAAGCGTAATTATTTATGCCTATGCCTTGCACTGAATGTGTGAAAAATACAATAATATTTTTTTTATTAAACACGTGTTTAGGAAATACAAAAGTGGAAAAAAACATATGCCAAGAAAAAGAGTTAGGGGTTCAAGGATGG